TTACCGTTAACGGTTAGGTACGGTTACCGTTTCCTTTCTTACGGGACGGTAACGTACGTAGAAGTAGTGGTGGTAGTAGTACTAGTAGTAGTGTGTGTGTGTGTGTGTGTGTGTGTGTGTGTGTGTGTGTGTGTGTGTGTGTGTATATATGTTTGGTATATTTTTCCATGTACTGTTGTAAGTGTCTCATTTCCTGTACAATGTAGTCAGCAACGAGACTGTCATGTAAAAAGGTTTTAGGGATATTTTTCTTTGGAATTGGCTGAATGCATGTGCTCATGTATTAATATATATAATCAATTTTAGGAAAGTTAAGGTTCATACTGCATGAAAGAAATAAGCAGAGAATAAAAATTAGTTTTCTGACTGAGATTAAATCAATGATTGGAAGTCACCAATTCCAAAAGTTATACAGTGTTTAGATTACAATCTAATAAGCTTCTTTTATTTCTCTATGAGCTTTAGTGTCAGTTTGTATTGTATTTACAAAACTGATTTCATTGTAATAAATAAGTATCATTTCTGGAATTAAAAGCTCATGACCATACTGAAAGCATCAGAAGAAAATTGTTACAGTAAAGATATCTTTACTCTTAAAAACATTTAACTCAAATGTTATTCACTTCAGAGATGTTTTTAATTGGATCTTAGAATGTCAACTAAATAAGTGAAAGCAGAATTAACTTTTTATATTTTAGAAAACTCTTCCAGTAAAAATATACATACATCTTAACACAAAATTATTCACAGTATTTACTTGTATTGTTCTTTGTGAAATGTATATTAAACAAACTCCTATCTTACTTTAACTCTACAAAAGTTTCCATTTCCCTTGTATCTAGGTCCGTTACATTTTCTCCATCCAAAAGTTGCTGCACTTCTTGCAGTTTTTCTGCCACATCTTCAAACTCCCTTGTGTTAACAACTGTTGTGACAGTGTCATTTACTTCCTTGAATTCTTCTATCAACATTAATGTGTGATCTGCAAATACTTCAAACTTAATGCTATACAACATACTTCAAACTTAATGCTATACAACATACTTAAAAACTTAAAAGTTGAGCATACATTTACATACACAATTTGAAGTTGCAATAATTGAATCACATTTCAACTGGATCAATATTAATTCATGTACCAACAATACTTTATACTGATTAACACAACTCAAATGAAACAATTGTAACAACAGCTGATGAAACACTCAGAATGCTAAGTTATGAATTTTTTAAAATAAATTAATCAATAAAATAAATCAATACACATGCATTTTATACATTTAAAACTATATATAGCTGCTGAAGCTATTTAAATAGTAAAGCTGTGCATAATTAAAATTATATATTTAGGAATTTCGTTCAATATAACAAATTGGTGAGGAAAGCTGACCAATTAGATATCTTCAAACTATTGAACAGTAAAAAAAAATAAAAACAAAACAGTTTGGTTTCAACTAAAAACTAGGCTAATTTAAGGCTTTATACAGAGCCAGCCATAGGCACAAACTTTGTATCCAGCACCCCTGGAAAGTTGACAAGATCTGCTAATTGCAATGTCAATTTTGGTGCCCTTAGGAGTGTATGTCCTATGTATGAGCACATGTTAGCCACCCAAAGGTCTGGTCCCAGCTTTATAAATCAATTATTATAAATACATTTTGTTAAACTAACCACTGCTTTGGTCAAGTTATCCAAATTACAAACAAAATATACAAGTAACAAACAAAAATACAGCTTCTCAAAGAATCAACAAGAGTTCATTAACTTAGTAACAATTGTCCTATTACATTGTTCAAGCTAGTACCTTTACACACATACACACAAATAAGAGTTTATCAGAAACTTCACTACAAACATACTTTCTACACAAAATAATAAACAAAAGGATTTATTAATAAACTACTTTATAGTGGTATTTCTAAGACTTTCTACAGAACATTTTAGTGTGTTTAGAATATGTGGTAGTGATTTCCATATACTAAAAATAAAAGAATAAAAAGCAGTAGTTTAGTTTTACAATTTTAGTACTAAACATTTTACTTTGAAAAGACAACATTATTCAACCTCATGTTTGTTTTTTTAAAAAGTTATCCTGAAGAAAATATACATTAAAGGTATCAATATGGTCTCCTCTAGGTTTTTTTCCCCACCAGCAAGTTTTTCATTTTATTTTTCAAAGTTTGTAATAATTGTCTTATCACTGGACTCTGCCTCTAACTAAAACAAAGTAAAACAAGAAAGTACTTAGATAGTGCAGTCCCTCTCTTACAAAAATTGTTGGTCTAAGTACCAAGATCATCTCTTTCTACCCTAGTATGTTCTTTAGTTTTGACCCTTTTCCAAGCTCCCTATATCACACAATTATAATAAAAATAGTTGAGCATCATTATGACCTTAACCTTTGAGCTAAATGAACCTAAAGTTAATGTTTGAAGGACATTCAACTTTTGTACCAAACTTGAACAAAATCAGATGAAAACTGAGTTTTACAGTTCACACACACTCAAAGTGGAAACAATACACCTATCATCAAGTTCAGATAAAAACAATACTAAGCACTGGCTGCTATTGTTAATTATACCCATTTTAATGTTACATGATGATTTGTTCATATTCCTTTTGTAATTTAATCATTGATAACAAAGTATAAAAAGGTCATTTGTCTATAATAGTCATTCTAATAGGCACTAATCTTTATAAATTATTACCTGCATTGTTTTCTAAACTATCAACCTGTGAGAAAGAACAAAGAAACTTGTCTTTTCATGAAATGGGCTCAACCAAGAAAGTGTTTAGATAGGCAATATATTATCATGGTAATCCATTTTTGCATTTACTCTATAAACAAATATTGCAAAAAATTAAATTCACACCTTTTCTGCAAGTTAGTTTATAGATTTGAACATCTAGTCTCCAATTCTTTTGTTATCTTATTATATGGTGTTGATCCCATTTTATTAGTTAGGGTCATTCAGCAAGTTTGAAATAATTTATTTGTTACTAACAAATTAATAAGGTTTGTATGGATGAGTAAAGCTAAGTTATATAATATTCTTTGATAGATTGTTTAGGTAGAGTATTCATGATGAAACTTGCAGAATGGACGGCAGCTGCCTGTTGTAAGTTTCGAAAGTCTTCCTCTACACTTGTGTCTCTACAAAAGGCAGTTGCCATCCATTCTGCAAAGTTTCAAGCAATGTAATAGTCTTACTGAGTATCAAAGACAAAATATAATTTGTTGTTTTAAACTCCTAATTAAACATGCATTTGACTATCTACTAATGTTAACGTATTTGACCTATTGTACTACCCAGCTTGCAAACCTGTTTGTCTGTGCCTACAGTCATAATTACCATGGAGGCAGTGAGAATAAAATTAAAATATCTAGTTATCTATTTTTCCCCTCAAATTTTAAAAACCTTACCTCAGCCTATCTAAAAGTACAACCTCTAGATCCTGCTTTGTGTTTAGAGCAGGGGTGTCACTGGTTTCTGTCCCCAAAACTTTTTGGTATCTAGCAATACTCTTAGTAAAATATATTTTTAAGTTACCATTAGCATTTAAAGAAGTACCCTACATAGTAAGCTTAAATTTCTCATACAGATAAAATTCTAATTTTCTTTTCTTTCTTCTTTTTTTTTTATATATCAGAAATATATATAAGAAATAAAACAATTTGACAATCCTCATTTAAGCAAAAGCCTTGGATCAGATTGTATAAGTGCACCATTATAATATGCTTGATCTGACTTCTTTATCAGTGTTCACTAACATTGCTAATTACACTTAATAATCTTAGTAATACCAAAACTGCTTACTAAATTAAGCAAAATATTAAGCCATAAAGTAGTATTATCAGAGCTGATAATGTCTCATGCATCAATATTTTATATTTCAGTGAATGCTAATAAAATTGTACCATCATTTTTAGTTTACTCTTCCAAAGTAAATGTTTTATCTTACATACAATGACACTATTCTAGCCCTTAGAATTTATTCACACATTAAAATTAAACATATCTAAAAAAAAACCAGTAGTTGAGTAAATGATTTTTTTAAGATTTCAAGATGTAGTTCTAAGGGTCAGCAGTCATTTATTCTATACACCTGTGTAAGTCTTGCCGGAAAGAGGAGTATGTGAGATTCACTGCTAGGTAGCTATTACTAAAAAATAAAGTAATATGTGCCAACAAATCCAGAAAATAACCTGATGTACAACTCCCCACATATCAACAAAGACAGAAAATACATGTTGCAAAGTTTACCACAGTAGGCCTGACAATTTTGCCTCCATAAATAGGGTCCACGATGAAATGCAACTAAGGACTTAAGTCCTGTGATTTCCAGTCTGAAACCAAATGTTTCCCAGTAAAATTGACCTTATGACCTTATCCTCAAATTTGAGTTAGCCTTTCAAAATTTAGTCTAAACTACTAAAATTATGTTATGAAAAATGTTAATAATGATAGTTATCTTGTCTAAGCTAGTAGTGCCTAAAAGGCCAAAGGAATGCTCATTAAGCATTAACAGACAAAGTTGTTTAGACCTAGCACAAGCAGCAAACTTAAGGTTAAAGACAATTGAATAAATAAATCCTACAATGATAAAAATTTACAGCAAGAAAGATAAAGGCATGATGAAGTGTGATGACATATTTAATAAAATTTAACAAAAACATGATACTCCTAAAAACATGACTACACAAAAGAATCCCCATTAAAACCCACACAAGAGTATCTTAATATTTACTAAAAGAATAAATTAACTTGGTATTTTTGAATAATCAACACATCTACTTGCTTTTTAAATCTTGTATCATATAATCCCATTGTTCAAAACACTCTCCACAGTTTTTACAGTTTGGCACTACTCCTATATATCCTCGTGCACATTGGTTACACCGCTTTCCAACAACCCCCTTCTTACAGAAGCATGTTCCATCATTTCTTCTACACTCCAAGGTAGCAGATCCCTCAAAATCACAATCACAAGCTGTTAAAAATGACAAAACTGTCTATTGATAATTTACACCACGAAACATATGAACATAGTTACACTCATAAGATACCTGAGAAAATATTCCAAAGATTTCATTTATTTATACATGTATATAGCTTCAATATTTGTGAAATTTACATGTAAAATATTTTATTTGCTAATTATTATAATTATAATCAAAGAGAATTGCTAGTAAGGAAAAGATTAATTTTTAACATTTCTGATCAAAGTAATTTATTTTTGGTTCACAATATTAAAGTTATCACATATCAATTTTGAAAAACATCTATAACACTCAACTCGTGTTATTGGCTGTAAAAACAAGAAATAGAAAAAAGTATATGAAATTGTTTTATATTAATTAACTTCAAGTGATATTTATCACACTTGAGAAACACAAGATAAAACAAGTAAAGAATTTTGATAACACACATGTATGGGTAGATCTTCCCTCTTTAAAAGGGTGAAATAATAATGAAAATAAAATCTGAACATTAGAAATGCTATGTGTGACTATGGTAGTTCAAGTTGAGAATATGGAAGTGTACCTGTAGGATTCAAAAGAAATGTTGCAGATATAACTTATTTTCTCTCTCTCTCTCTCTCTCTCTCTGTGGAAAAAATAAATTATGTAATAACTGAAAATAAGACTTTAATATTACTGACAACAAAATAGATTACAGTTATTACATAATTTATTTTTTCCACAGAGAGAGAGAGAAAATAAGACTTTAATATTACTGACAACAAATAGATTACTTTCAATAATAAATTGTTTTACCTTCAATGGTATACAAATTATATTTAGCAAATAGCTGGTCTCAGAAACTTCAATTTACTTTTTTTGTCATTTTCTTACACTTTACCCCTCAGTGGCTCAGAAGCAAATCTGCATGGTTATGATGATGAAAACTGATTTGATACCCATGTTTTTAAAGCATAGATAACCCACTATGCAGTTGTGTGCTTAAGAACAACCAACTAATCAAAGTTTATTTTTTTTTTAATCAACTTTATTATTTGTTTTTTTTAGAGCAAACCCACATTGAGCTATCTGCTGTGTCAACTAAAGGGAATCAAAAGCCAAATTTTAGCATTGTAAGTCTGTAGACTTTCTACTGTCCCATCAGGGGACATCAGCTTTATATTTTACCTAACTGTTTAAAATACTTATTGACATTCTTTATTTCATATATTACATAGCAACTCATATTTAGGACACCAGTTAACATACCCTCACTTCCATTCTATTCTCTTTCCCCTACATCACACTATAACACATAAATATAATAAAAAATATTCATAATATTTATATTTATAAATATCTAGGGATGTTATATAAAATATTCCTATAAAATTAAACTTAATAATAAAGTGAGTTTCATTTATATCAAAAACCTAACTTGTAAAAAAACGTTCCAATTAAAGTTCATTACATTTGCAATGAGACTGGTGAAAATCCATGTACCCAAATATATTTTCATTCAGCTAAGTGTAATTATGCATAATAACAAGAGACATTATATTTCTTCTAAACTTCTAATGTACATTATAATGGCATCTAATTACTAAATGTGAACTTACGCATGCATCCAATTTCTTCATTAGTCCAGTAGTGTTCTTCACAATTACTACATGTTCTACCACCATATCCTTTCTTACAGTGGCACTGGCCATCAAACTAAAAATTATTTCAACAACAACAACAAAAATCTTTGTAAATAAAGAACATACATTCTATAGAATTCCAATTAGAAAAACATCAATCTGAAAACGTGACAACTGACCCAGGTTATAGCAAACAAAATTAGTTCCTGAGCTTAGCTCTGAAATACATGTTAGGGTAAGTTCAATCATATTTTGCACATTCCTTATGAACTCAATATTTACATATATAGTCTCTATTTTAGGGATTTGATTTGGTTACAATTATATAGAATTTGTACCAATTCAGTTAAAAGGTACGTACGTATCTCATTCTGATTGAAGAACTTCAAGTTCCTGAATGCATGTTACAATAAATTCCTTTTATATACCATTTTAGTTTGAATATTCTACACTTTCACAGCAATTTTCAGAGTTAACCAACAATGTACTTAAGTTATGAAAAACAAGAAGACAACTTCAAAACTGTTATGGCTTCAACTCTTCTCACTAACTATTATATATAACTTGAAGTTTAAGCACATACATGGTGCACCAGACCTAAATAGCAACAGTTACTGAGAGGTAGCCCACTTCTTCAATTTACAATAGCTTTCTCATAGACAAATCTTTGTAATAGGTTATCCAATAGAGCTTATGTCATTCATACACCCTACGATTATGAGACATTTATCAATAACACCTTCTACTACAAAATACATCATCTTAAGTCACAAAAACATATTACTAATACAAATTACTACAGGACAGCTACCAACTGCAATAAACTTAAGAATCTTAAATTGAATTTAACTTTTCACTTAAAATAATGTTTATTACAACTAAACTTTATCCTGCCAGAAAAAGTTATTTTATTCTTTATTTCATGAATGTTTAGCAATGCAGTTTGTTACAGGAAAAAAACAACAACATTCTTCACATACATCAGCCTTACCACATTGCAGTAATCTGATACTGACCCCTGTGGGTCACAATTGCATGGTTTACACCCTTCATCACTGCCAAAATTCCAATGATTAACATCACACTTATCACAAGTTTGACCAACAACATTGGGCAAGCACACACACTGGCCAGTTGTTGAGTTGCAATGTTCAGCACTAGGGTCAGTTCCCAAAGAATTACACATGCAAACTGAAATTTCAAACATAAAATTATTTTTTCATAAGATCAACTTGCAACACTCACAAGTATTTAGAAAAAACAAAGTTACTTTACACATTGCGACGTTTCAAGTTACTAAGAAATATACACTAACTGTGGCTTTATCCTGGGACCCTTAGCTCACACAAGTGCCCTCCCAATAATTTGGTATCCTTGAGGTTAGATATTTGACTTAATCCTGGAGGAGCTCCACTTAAAGTTAATACTATATGTAATCCATGTTAATCCTCACTTATAAATATTAAATTACTTTATTAAATCTCATATAAATAAGTGAAACTTATTATAATGAAGGTTATTACACTGGCAAATCTGAGGATTTCAGACATTAATAATCATCTTACTATTCATGAGCACACTTCCTTCTATATTTGATACTTGTACAAATCATGACATAATTTGCATAACATCACAGATTACCACCTAAAAATCCTACACCAATTATTTCTCTTCCTCAATGACAGAATATAAAACATATTTTAACTTTTAAAAGATTCACAAAATTAGGTAAAAATATTCAAAACTAGAACCAATTTAAGAGCTTTAAGTAAGTCAGTTCAGTAAATGAACTAACCATTTTAAACCATTACATTCATCATAACCTAATGAAATACTGGCAATCAAGATATACAGCAAAAAAAAAAACTTTTTACTGTGATGCACATTTGAGAACTATGTTGCCTATGGCTGAAGAAACCACCATTCATGCAAGACAAGATCACTTCACACCTAACATTATTAAGCCCAGCGGGCATCAAATTGTGGTTTCACAAGTTACAGCAATAATCTCTTCTAGTTTCAGGTAGTCTTGATTCAAAACTCAAATTCCTGATTGATGGAGTATAGTGAAACAACTCAGAATCTTTCACCATTATGTTTCAAAAATAAAATTAAGTGAATGCTATCAAAAAATAAATGTTATGTTAATGTTGTTTGGTCTAGATAGCTTTAGTTTGATATCATCCTTTTTTGAGATAAATTATACATGCATCATTTTATTATTAACAGATTAATTTCCTTTTCAGGTATTTTTCAGCTTTAAATAGGCTAGAGCACTGGACTTGTAGTGCTACTTGCATGTTAATAATCAAATAATGTAGCCCTATCAACAAATTATTGTTTAGTCAATGTCTTATTCAAATAAAATATCACTAGGTAATTACCAGTTATAAATCATGCAATTTTATAGCAGTTAAATTTGTGCTTAATAGTTAAAAAAATATATAAAATAAATAAATAACCTCTTATATACAAATTAAAAAATAAATTACTTCATTATATCACACTGCCATCAATAATTACTTTTGGAGGTATAAGCTGGAGACTCAATTTGTTATATTTTAGCCATGACATTTAAAAAACTGGTAAATGTAAAATAAATTTTAGATATGGCTAAAATAGTGGCGCATGATGTACACAGCATGGTCACAAGTAAATAGACACCACCTTTTCAGAAAA